GAGGAGGAGGAGGAGGAGGAGGAGGAGTTGGAAAGGGTGGGGAGTAGGAGGAGGAGGATGAGCAGGAGAGGAGGAGCAGCAGGAGGATGATGAGGAGGAGGAAGAGGAGGAGCAGGCGGTGGATGAGGATGAGCAGGAGGAGCATATGAAGAGGATGAGTAAAGACTACTACTACTACTATTACTACTACTACTACCACTACCACTACTACTACTACTACTACTACTACTACTACTACTACTACTACTACTACTACTACTACTACTACTACTACTACTACTACTACTACTACTACTACTACTACAAAAAGACACTGACTAAGACGAACACTAGCAATTTGAAGACTAGTACTACAATTAAGACGAAACATAATCATTCGAGTGATAATTTCAGCAGCATTATCAGCAGCATCCCTGCGAAGAAGTTTCTCGGACGACGAATTAGGATATTGCGATGAATCATACGACAGAAAAGTGAGCGTACTACTCTTACTACAGTTCGTATGGATACGAATACGCAGACTACGACGACGAATCTGACACACAATCCTAGCACTATCATTACTGAGAAGAAGTACACGAAGACGACTAAATCTACTAATACCACCATGAAGACTAATAGTATTCTTAATCTGGGTAAATAGAAGAGGGCTGTTAGTACTACTAGTAATACTAATACCACTGCGAAGACTGCGACGACGACGAACCCGGATACTACGAAAACCAAGCACACAATTGCTACGGACGCGACTAAGAATCCTACTACTGTTACTGACAGGAAACCGAAGACGAATAAGAGTGACACGACGAAGACTGTTAACACTACAAAATGAAAGTGCCACGAACGATGTTGATATGTTGAAAACACGTAATGCTAAACTTATTATTCACAGTCTTTCTAAAACTAGCGCCGGGGTCACTACCCATCACTACAACTCAGTAGGTTGATACGAACATGCATAATAACAATGATCGTCCCATTAATTTCAACACTACTACTACTACTAATCAACATCACAAGGCGAACGCTTGTGATACTGGTACAAATTTTGTATTATGAATACGAAAACTAATCTTACTGATCTTTCTTATGATGATAGTTTTACTATCAATACGGATGAACAGACTAATCCAAGGAGCGATACTACTACGAGCATGACGAATATGAAGAACACGCAGAGGAGGAGGGAGAGGCGGATCAGGAGGAGGACGAGGAGGATGAGGAGCAGGACGTGGAGGAGAAGGACGAGGACGAGGACTATGAGGTGGAGGATGAAGAGGAGGGGTAGGAGGATGATGATGATGAGGAGGAGGAGGAGGAACAGGAGGAACAGGAGGATGAGAACGGTGAGGAGGACGCGGCGGAGGAGGAAGATGAGGATGAGGAGGATTGAGAGTAAGGGTAAGAGTAAGAGTAAGAGTCAGAGTGAGAGTCCCAGGACGTTGTCCGAAACAAAACCTCTCGCTTCCCCGAGCGCAGAGGACGATAACCACGGAGACCTGAAGCGACGACGCCTGCGGAAAGGACAACCTCGAACAAGATTTCACCACATTACAGGTACATCATCAAGCCGTCTGGTAGCTCCCCCCGAGTGCGAGGCAATGCAGACCGAAGGAAATGCTGACGCCGCCCGTCTCACCCAAAACTGAATCCAGAAGGCTGCGACCGTCACACCAACACTCCCACCACCATACAAAGCTGAAAGGAACATGGACATACACTAACAAGGGAATATGTGTGCCGAAGTGGGCATTGAAGACGACGCCGAAGGATAAAGATGGCTGCTCTCTTCACCATTATTGAGTAGAAGGGCCAGCGCCGTAAAGACGATGGCGTGATACCCAGCACCCTCAGGTTCCTCGAACGTGAAGCTTACGATGTAGTAGTCGCTGAGCACCAGGTGGTTTGCCACTGGGGAAGAAGAAGCCCCTTGCACACCGACCGCCTGGGAGGGCACCATCATTTACCAGAGTAGCAAGCCGCTGAACCCCAGCGGTGTGCCTCAAGGGAAACCATCCCCTAGCACGCCGACCGCCTGGGAGGGCAAACTACCAGAACGTCCCAGAGCCGACACAAGCTGGAACATGAGCAAACAAACTAAACAACCTCCTCCGTGTTCGCCTTGCAGAAACTCACAAACAGCAATACAGCACCCTGCCAGAACAACATACAACACTGCGTAGCCTGACCCTGAAACCGTCCCTCTTCGCCAACCGGCTAAGCGTCGCAAAGACGAGGATGTCGCCTGAGTGCCACCCATGTACGCCGTTGAGGCGGAGACGAGGCCTGCGCCACATTGGAGAGGGAGATGATGCTGATGATGATGATGATGATGATGATGATGATGAGGAGGAGGAGGAGGAGGAGGAGGAGGAGGAGGAGGAGGAGGGAGGAGGGGGAGGAGGAGGAGGAGGAGGAGGAGGAGGAGAAGGAGGAGTAGGAGGAGGAAGAGGAGGACGGTGAGGAGGAGGCGGCGGAGGGAGGAGGAGGAGGTGGAGGAGGAGAGGGAGGAGGAGGAGGAGAAGGAGGAGTAGGAGGAGAGAGGAGGCGGTGAGGAGGAGGCGGCGGAGGAGGATGAGGAGGAGGATGGGGAGGAGGAGGAGGAGGAGGAGGAGGAGGAGGAGGAGGAGGAGGTGGAGGAGGAGGAGGGGAGGAGGAAGAGGATGAGGAGGAGGAGGAGGAAGTGAGGAGGAGGTGAGGAGAGGAGGAGGCGGGGGAGGCGGAGGAGG